TTATTGCAGCCAGTGGAGCTCCTCCTGCTGGCTGTTAGAGAGAATGCAGGTTTAAGACACTTCACAGACCCAGAAGCTCTCGTTATATTTACTTTCAGAGTAAAACAAATGTTCGCTCACTTTATGAGACAAAATATGAACATTTAGAAAGTTAAAGTTCTTGTGTTTTGCCTTAAGCAGTAAAACTATTTTAAATACTTATATAAATGAGACAAAGTTGTATTTTTGTTCCTCACTGACGTTACTGAATTGTCTGTAAAACAAGATAATCCTACTTGATTTGAGCTGTTAATGTTAATGCAGATTAAAGCTGTAGGAGTTAACTCACCAGAATCGATACGAGGCGGTAAATGATATGAACGCTGTTTTCCTGAATCGTCAATAAAAACTCCTGAAGAATAATTTCTTAACAACCAGAAGAACCCAGTAATCTGAATAAATGAGCTGAGGTTACCTGTAGTGGAGTGAAACACTGCTCGTCTGAAGGAAACAAGTCACAGACGTGTTTTCCTCATTAAAACGCTGCAGCGAGGTTTAATTACAGGCTGATAAGTGATCCCGTCTTTACTGTTCCAGTCTCGTCTTTTAATGACACTTTAATTGCAGTTTATGTGGTTAATTGCGCGCTATCACAAAAACCTGATAGCAGGAGGAGCAGCGGGCAGCGATCGGCGGTTATTATGATGCTGAGAGCACGAAGGGCGATAGAAAAGCTCCGGCGGAAGCTTCTGTCTTCTTCTATCAGACTCGCTGTTTGTAGTGTTAAAGGAAGAATTAGAGGAGAAAAACACAAGAATGAACCTTTAATCAGGTAACGTACGATGCCTTCAGGGGCTCGTTGCTGACCTCGGTCTAAATGTTTCTCTGCTGTTTGTTTATCTCTGTTCCCTGTGACTGGCAGCAGCTTCCCTTCAGCACGGACTCGTAGAAATGATAAAAACCAGGACACATTTATTTATAGCCCGTCTCCGCTCTTCCACCCTCTCTACGTTCTCATCACGTCTATTTTTAACATTTCATTGTTGTTATTTCCTGTGAGGATGGAAGCAGTTGCTCTCTGTGGCCAGCAGGTGGCGTCAGACACACTCATCATGGTTTGTTCTGTGTTGTTTTTGTGTTTCCAGCTGCTAAGAAGGCCAAGAAGACCCACAGACCTCTGAAAAAACAAATGTCCTCTCCAAACTTCCAACGCAAGGACAAACCAGAGAAAGTGAGTCAGCAGATTGATCATTATTCAGATTCCTGGTCCGAGTGAAATCCTGCAGGATGCTGCTGAGTGTGAAAGACTTTGTTTGTTCTCTCTTTGTAAAGCAGTGTAAAGCTGCAGCTTAGTGCTCGCTGTCGCACTGTAACAGTTTTACTTTCATTCAGGACCTTAAAGATGAGGAAAGTCTCTCTTTAATCATAAAGTGACTTTTTATTTTTAATGAATGTGTGAAGTTACAGTCACACTAGAAGCTGTTTAGCAAAATAATTCATCTTCCATGAATCTGAAGTTATAGTTGACTCTAAATTAAGCCTTATTGTCTGTTGAACATCCTTAAACAGATCTAATGATGTAATACAGCCGTTGTTTATGTGCTCAGTACATTTTTAGTGACTTTTGCTTTTTTCTACTCAAATAAAACATTAAAAGACAAACTGTAACTTTAAAACCTGCAATTGGATGTTTTCTAAGTCAGATTCTCTTTCCCGCAGTCGCAGTCGAGGGACAACACGCCGTTCACGTGAGTTCACCTGCAAACACGAGACAACGTGGTCGCAGTGTGAGGAGGAGTGTGTTCACTTGTTGAGTTTATTTCTGCAGGGACACGTTTATTACAGTAAACCAGAGTTAGCTACCTGTTCTATATGTTATATCTGATGACACTGAAGGACAAATCATTCTCATAACTGAGGCTTCCCATAAGTCCTGGAAAACCTGGAAATTAGAGACTAGTTTTCCAGGCATGGAAACGCCTGGAATTTGATTAAATTTACCTCAAAGTCTGGAAATGATTGACATTGTCCTGGAAACCTTTATGTGTGTTTTCTCTCCTCGAGCACATCGCCCAAACTTCCTGTAAAACAAAATAAATTCCACAGATTTCAACTGTTACAGGTGTCACTCGTCCTGGAAACACCTGGAAATTTAAGATGAGCTGAATGAACCTGGAGTGTTTCATATTGGTGGGATGAACTGTGACATTTAAAGCAGAGTGAAAATACACACTGATGTTAACGTGCAGTGAACATGTAGTTAAATGACCCAAACAGCAGCTGATAGCAGCGTTTGTAATCCAGTGCTGTCCTGTATCGTCAGGACAAACTCCTGGAAAGGTCCTGGAAAGGTCCTGGAACATGACTTGTTCTAAAGAGCGGGAACGCTGTGACCACCTGTGATAATAAAGATCATTGTTATGTTGAGTCAGCCGTACCTCAGCAGAATGTGTCATTTCCTTTTATTGATTGCTGTTTGATTTGTAGACTGAGCGTCCAGAAGAGTAAGTGGGACAGTTCTCGCTCAATGCGATACAACCAGGACGCTCAGAGGGAGGAAGGTAAAGGAGTTCTATATATATATCAGTATAACGTCATTATAACGTCATTATAACGTCATTATAACGTCATTATAACGTCATTGTAACGTCATTAATACTTTGATGTTTTACAGTTTGAATTCTGATGTTTCTGTTTTCATTCGACTCAGATCAGCGACGCATGGTGGAGATCATCGGCCACCTCACTAAGATGAGGTTCGGAGACCAGGAGCAGAGCAAGGCTAAGGATACTAAAGAAGTAAGTGTGTGT